TTTTTTTTTTTGGATTTGCATTTTAGTGGTCCGCGACAAGTTAGGGAGGCAGCGAGCCGGTACCTGGTATCGAAAAGGTTGAAAACCACTGGGATAAATCATACCATAATCTTGTATTAACTTCTAATTGTTATGAAATACAGATGGTTGAGTACGTTATATTAAAACGATTTTGGAGCCTCATCACTTTCCCACGAGACTAAAATTCAAAACTTTGTAACTTTCTAAATTTACTAGTCTCGGGCAAGTAAGGTAACGGCAAAACAAAACAACTATCGCTGTACTGTGGTTAATGTACAAGTTCAGAAATAAAGGATGGCGCTGAACAATTTTGTACATACAGATTTAAATACCATTCTTTTATTAAATTCATTAACTGCTAATTGAATATCTAGTGTTTTCAACCTGAACAATATCTTATCGCTAGACGGCCAGATCAGAGACCCCAAGGTTCAGTCATAGTCATACGTAATTCATAAACGTGGATCAGGTGGAGTAAAATCCACTCAGCAACACTCGCCGCCTACATATTACTCTTAACCGAATAACGGAATTAACTGCCACTTTTTTACTACCCTCACAGCTGAAAAGAACGAAGCGTATATTTAGAGAGATATCACAGGCTCGAACCTCGGACCTTCGGGTACACATCCCAACACACTAACCACTATGTAATTCAAAATTTAAATAATAATAATGGAATAAAAGAAATTAAAGTTAGGATACTCATAATTTATTTGTCAAAAATGTTTTGCATTTGTATTTATAGTTATTCAGGAAAATAATACCCCTGTTCGAGTTAATGACCTTTAAGATAAATACTTTTGAATTATTATGAAAAATAGTGTTTTTTCATCAACACGTTTGGGTAAAAATCACTTGTTGATTTTTATAGTGTGTTATAAGTCAGCATAACGAACCACTACCTTTATCAGAACTCCTAAATGAGATATGAATTATTTCCTTCGTTGCTGTACAGAAATCTGCGAACTTACAACGGTAGAAACCGGGTTTCGATACCCGTGGTGGGCAGAGCACAGATAGCCCATTGTGTAGCTTTGTGCTTAATACCAAACAAACTGTGCATAAACCAGAATATAGGCCGTTTTAAACATTATTAAAATATCCGTAAGCGAATAATCTTTGTACTTAGACATTAAATAATCTATCTGTATGCATTACTTTGTCTATTTTAACACATAAGTTATGATTTCAGTTAATTGATTGATTCAGGCAGATGCTTGATAAAAATATTCAAAACTCGAATAAAATTTCGTAACTACTTACTGAAAGTAATAAAATTCCACCTCTTTATCCTCAATATTTTCTGATAATTCGAATGTATAAAGGCTTTGAACGTCCTCTCGTAGATGCCTAAATTAGATAAATAATATTGTTTTAAAATGTTGCCCATAAAAACTTATTTAAATAATTTAGTTTTGAAGGTTGGTAACTCATTTAAAATAAAGAGAACATTACCTTAATAAAAATTTAACCATAGAACAAATAATATACTTTAGTATAGAAATAGTCGCTTATTCACAGTTCTGTGAGGTTATTAAAATGGTTGTTTTTAATTAATAAAACAAAAATTATAAATGAGAGCTGATATAATGTAATTATTACAATTTTATAAAAACAGACTGACCTGAGGTTATAATTAATAAACGTAGTCATTGTTCAAGATCTTTAAAACATATTTTGCGACATCTACTATCATTTTTGGGTATTCTACAGAATTTTAGCAATAATCTCACGTTCAACCTTTTTCATTAAAATAACATTTTCTGTGGCTTTACAAATATCCAAATATCAAATCAAAAATTTTTTAATTGAGACATTGAAAAATTTTCAATGTTCTTATATTTTTTATTGTTTTTTATTCAGATTCACACAGAGTGCACTTACTCAATGTCTCGAATTAAATGATCGTCTCGCAAAATGTTGTAATCTGCACCACCAGATGGCCGATAATGCGTATGGTCTTTGTGTTTAGAATCTGACCCATTAGTCAAGTGGTTGAGAACAAATACTCCCAATAAAAGGACAAACGCTATTATCTTCTGATAAAACATTATTTACTTTTTTTTTTTAACCTAGAAAAGATTTAAAAGCGTTAAGTTAGCATCAAACTATTAAATAAAACCAATGCAATACTGGAATAAAACACATACGACAAACAAAATGAAATAAAAACAATTTTTAACAGAAATCATGTCACACTTTTACTCTAAATTTTTTATATAATTATTTATATCAAATTAAGTGTCAGTCAAATGTTACACATTTAAAACCTTAAGTTTCTTTACATTGTGACATACTTGTTTGTTTGTAGTTAATCACAAAACTACACAATGGGCTATTTGTGCTGTGCCCACCACGGGTATCGGAACCTTTAAATATTATATTTAATTAAATCAATATTAATATAGTGACTTGGTGATCTCGATTTTGCACAAATTAGAAAAAAAAAGTGATAATACAGAGTAACAGATTAGAATCGAGCTCTGGCACGGTACTATTTCAGATATACGAACAAATATACACAAAAAAAGAAATGTTTAAAAAAGTAACGTTAGTTGTTAAAAATGACCTTATATTCTAAACAATCAATGTTACATCAACCTACTATAGAGTGTAGGCTTAAATGTGTTTATCGAAAACATTTTTAGTAAATGATGAAACGCTTTTCCCCTCTGAGCATACAATAGACAACCTAAACTATTCAGAAACTCTAAAACTCTTACCTCTGTCTTCGTCAAGAGCGAAGCAGCACACTATGTACTATAACATTTGTGGCAAGGCACTCTTTTATCTTTTACGTGTATCAGTTAGTGTTGGGAACAGCTGTTGTTTCGCACAATGATAAATACTGATGCTTAACTTGGATTTTACAAGGAAGAATGTGCTTGATCTGTATATCTCTAAATATGTAGATGAAGAGAGCAGACATTATCAATTAAGTATCATTTCTTAAACACTCGCTATTATAGTTATATAATACATTTTTACTTGACAAAGTTTGTGTTCCTTACCGTATATTGTACTTACTGAAATACGTGGAAGAAGCGTTTTTATTATATATACACTCAGATGTTTTAGACATCGTGTTACTGTTGATTAAATGAGGTGACCATTTTGTTTATTTCAGTTAGAACAATATTCTTTAATTATTTGTATTATACGAACTAATTTTAAGTAACCTAATAGCCGGAATAACAAGATGTTTAAGTTTTTTGACTATATTGTAAGTAGGTTATTTTCTATTCTTTCTTTAATGTTAGTTTCATTAGCAGTATTGTGTTTAGCATATATAACATAAATATTTTACTATTGTTATTTTTACTATGAGGGTTATTTTCCATTGTTAGTTTAGTATATGATTTAGGACTAACCTAAGTCTCACAAGCTGGCCTAACCCCGTGAAATATTATTGGGATTATGGCCGAACACATCGCTAACAACCCGTACGCAACTGATAAATCAGTTTATTCTAATTATTATAAGTTTTTGTTTTATAGCAATGCACGTTCCTAGTTAGCTGTATTAATTACTGGGTTAACTTTAGCTCTGATCCTTGTGGGTAGTTAGCTTTGATCGGAAGTTAGTGATAATTATACTCTATAAATTATTATACTCTATAATCAATATGGTATTACTTCTTCTGGAATATTTAGGTCACAGGTAAATCACTTCTGCGAGAGGTTCGAAGATTTGGTGGATGAAATGTTAGTATTAGAAAAAGAGAAGAAACAGAAAAGTCTGAAGAAAATAACTAAATATTTTGTAGTGTGGTGAAAATGTGCACTTCATCATACAATCTTCTTTCTGGTGGTTTGGCTGAATGGTTGGTGCAGACTAACAACCAAGCACTTGGTTGCTAAGTATGGAAACTCTGAATGATTGAACTTGGATGTCACTAGATAGATAAAGTGCCCATGTATCAAAAGATATGGTATCACTAAAAAGTAATGAAACGGAACTTCGAGCCTGCAGTACGTGAGTAACATGGTTCTGGTTGAATTGGTCTGTATCTCGTAAGTAGACAGATGAACTGGTTACTTCAGAAAGAAAAGGTGATTCTGATGGTTTACTTTGATCACGAGAGCAGTGTCATACAGTTTTGACTTGTTGATGAGAAGGAAGATGGTGGCTGTGCATATCTGAGAGTCCATTTGACATCAGATGAGGAAACACTAGTGTTGACCTCCTAATCATTATAGTTTAGATTAACCGTTTCAACAGCCAATTTATTGAATAATCAGTGGCTGAAAAATTAGCAATCTTTAATTTCTAAGCTACCTGTTGGTAAGATGTCTACGGGATATTGTATGATATCCATTCAATTACAGTACCTTTAGGATTGTTATTTGATAGATAAATGGTTCAGAGAACATTGCAACCCTTACTTTCCGAGCTATTGGGTTGTATTTGGTAGAGAAATATTGATGTCTAATGTCTTGTAGCTACATATTTTTGAAGTAGACATTGCAATACTCATAGAAACCCAACTAGAACAGTTGAGGCTGTTGATACACATGATCTTAGGAAACTTATAGTTGACACTGACTTCTGATAATAATTGGGAACTTTAACATACCAACATGCTGAAAGGGCTTGTCAATCCATGCTTTCTGGGTACTCAGATTAAATTTTTAGGCAAATATTGGTGGTTGTTAACTTGAGAGAAACGAAATTTTCTTTATGGATGTGTGTTATGTAAGATTCGCCTGTTGATCTGGTATGTCCATACCAGTCTTCCTGAGGCGCAGTAAAAGACTTTTGATGTAACAAAACATAAACTATATAAACCAGGGAAATGCGTGTCATCTTGACTAAGGCTGGTTGCTGTGTAATGGTAGTGAAACAATTTTTCTGTTGTCCCTGGTAGTTCTGGTACCTTTTTTTATACTGTGTGTGTATATACGTGTGGTTTATGGTTTACAACAAGAAATAAGATCTGTATCAATGACTGCTGTAAACATTTCTCTCACAATACTTTTACCTTAAGTGTTCAAGTTGAAGTTATCTAAATTTTAGGATGATGCTAATCTTGGTTGCTAGGACTAACAGGCATGCTGTTGATTTGTAGAGACGTATATTACAAGAACATAGTCTTTAATATAGTCTTAATGAAAAAACACCGATAGAAAGCCTGTTTACTCATAATAGATAGAAAATAAGCTAACTGGAACTGTTTATCGAAATTGCTCGAAAGTTCAATCTTTATGTGAGTTTGGAAAATTAATAGAGGTGGTGATGTCCTACTGTTCTATTACGTTTAACGCAAGCGTAAGATGTCTAACTATATGTGCTGTCGTCAACACTCAAGTGGTCAACCAAGGCTAGTTTATAGAACATGAAAGTGTCATCAATAAAACCTACGTCAACAAGTCCAATGAACACATTCGTGTGAATGATATACACTCATGAATAGAAACACTATAAAACTTTGTAATAAATTATGTATGTATACATATATATATATCGTATATGGATGGGTCCTTGGAAAAAAAATAGGAGCACGGGAAGCATTTAAGTGCTCAAACCCCAGTAAGCCTGTTGTTTCGGCATTAAACTTGTATATGAGGATTTATTTACATGCTTAGCTCCTAGCAAAGCCTCTTTCTTTCCTTTTGTGTGTTATGCTTAGAATAAAATCTAAGCTGTTGATCAAACATGAAACTATATACACTTTCTCAAAAAATCGCATAATAAGATAATATAATTTATGTAGAAAACATACTGCTTAACAGAGATAATATGCTTTCGTTGGTATGAAAGAAATATTGTAAACCTACAGGCTATAATAGACTCAAATAGAACTCGATAAAGCGAATAAATAATAATGTTTTCTTCAGTGTCATTGTTCTATTTCACGGAGAAATCATTTTTTCATTTCGTGACGTGAACAATTTACGGTTGTTGATAGACGTTACAGTGATCTAATAAAGTCATCATAACATTTGTAACCCCCCCCCAAAAAAAAAATTAGAATGTTCTTCTCGTTTCAGAAACGCCTTTCGATAACAAGATCACTCTCGATCCACTAACTTAACAAAATACCTTATTCCTCGACATTAGTATGTAATCTTCAGAAAAACTGTTTATTTGGCAACGTTTCTGTTTACTCTTTCTTTTAGACAAAGTGTTTTGTTGTACAACGCATTGTTCGAAAGAGGGCGCAAGAGATTTGTAAAATAAGCACTAGAGTTAAAGTTCTTTCTACTTGTAGAAACATCCCTCGACATTGTCATGCTTGCTTAGTGAGTAAAAGTCTTTACGATATTCTTTGTTTAAATGTCCAAAGATACAGATTTAGAGTGGATTGTTTATTTTTATTTAACTTTTTTACGACGTTTCGACCACTCGTACGGCCATAAAAAAGACATGAAAATCTCGTGACAGGGATTTAGTTTTAAAAGGAAAGAAATTTCCCTACACTGGGGTGTTCAGGGATATTAGTATCCCCCTTCTATTTAAATACAAACAGTTACCTGATGATGGCCCCACGAGTGGTCAAAACGTTGCAAAAAAGGTTAGATAAAAATATAGAATCCACTCAAAAGCTTTATCTTTGGACATTTATTGAAAGTGTATAGTGGATTTCCTGTTCTCAAAACAATATATTCTTTGTTTTTTAATTCATTATAACCGCCGTAGGATAACATATACTACTTTAACCCAAGTAAACACCAGTTAGCATGATTCTAGTATATCTGCTTTGACACAATAAATACATTTGTAGCTCTTGTCTGTAAAAATTGTTGGGTATTTCCAAAGAGACGATTAGTTTGAATCTAGTCAAAGCTGATAAACACATGACTTTATGAACAATCCTGAGGATGTTTTGGAATACGGCAACTTGTATGTTTCGTTCTATATAAATCTAGCTGATGTTGATACTCAAGTTGGTAACTGTTGAAGTTGAGTGATGGCAGGGAAAAAATAAATTGTTTTATAATAATGACACGGAGAGGGGGGGGGCAAATAGATTTTTAAGGTGATAAAAATGGTACTTGTAAAGTACGGACAGCAGAACTTTAGGTCCACAGTTCAGCACGTTAACTACTTGTAAAGTACGGACAGCAGAACGTTATATCCACAGTTCAGCACGTTAACTACTTGTAAAGTACGGACTGCAGAACGTTAGATCCACAGTTCAGCACGTTAACTACTTGTAAAGTACGGACAGTTAACGTGCTGAACTGTGGATCTAACGTTCTGCAGTCCGTACTTTACAAGTAGTTAACGTGCTGAACTGTGGATATAACGTTCTGCACTTGTAAAGTACGGACTGCAGAAGGTTAGATCCACAGTTCAGCACGTTAACTACTGTAAAGTACGAACCGCAGAACCTTAGATCCACAGTTTAGCACGTTATCCACTTGTAAAGTACGGACTGCAGAACCTTAGATCCACAGTTTAGCACGTTAACTACTTGTAAAGTACGGACTGCAGAACGTTAGATCCACAGTTCATCACGTTAACTACTTGTAAAGTACGATCAGCAGAACCTTAGATCCACAGTTCAGCACGTTAACTACTTGTAAAGTACGGACAGCAGAACTTTAGGTCCACAGTTCAGCACGTTAACTACTTGTAAAGTACGAACCGCAAAACCTTAGATCCACAGTTCAGCACGTTAACGACTTGTAAGGTACGGACTGCAGAACGTTATATCCACAGTTCAGCACGTTAACGACTTGTAAAGTACGGACTGCAGAACGTTAGATCCACAGTTCAGCACGTTAACTACTTGTAAAGTACGGACTGCAGAACGTTAGATCCACAGTTCAGCACGTTAACTACTTGTAAAATACGGACCAGAACGTTATATCCACAGTTCAGCACGTTAACTACTTGTAAAGAACGGACCGCAGAACCTTAGATCCACAAAGCAACACGTTAACCACTTGGCCACGTTAAGATTGTTCTAACATTTTGTAACCCATTTAATGGGTCGTTTTTCTTCTTTTTTTTTTGGTATCTATTCTTTCGATTTATTTCAGAAACAAAGAATTGTTTGTTGAATATCCAATACATGTCAAAAATGTAATTTTATATTTTTACTTTTCAATTAGTGATATCAGAATAATTTCCATAATAATCCTCTATCCCGTTCCAAGTAATCGAAAAAAGCGTACATTTGTCTTTAAAAACAAGTAAAAA